CGCCAGCATACACCCAGGGATGGGGCAACCCAGGGGGAGAGCCGATTAGGCATGGGGGGGGGGGGGGGGGGGGGGGCGAAGAACACGTGAACGAAAAAGAACACTACAATAGATCGACCACCGCCCTCACCCGCTGATCCTCGCACAAGATGTCACCCTCGATGGTGAGGATGCCCAGAACGGTGGTCCGGTCGAAGCGGAGCCGTTCACACGATTCGATGGCCGTCAGCGGGAGGTGGCCCATGCCTTCGAGGGAGAGTCGGTGTCTCTTGGCTTTCGAGGACGCGTTGGTGTTACCACCCGAGTCGGTCTTGCCGGCGGTGCTTTGCCTGTCCCCTTGGTTGAGTGAGGGCCGCAAGAATGGGGGGACGGGGGGGGTGTTGTTCGCGCCGTTCTCGAGGAGCTGAGAGACGGGGACTGTCTGCTGCTCCTCCGGCTGCTCGACGGTCTCCACGAGCTGAGAGACGGGGACTGTCTGCTGCTCCTCCGGCTGCTCGAAGGTCTCAACGAGCTGAGGGATAGAGACTGTCTGCTCCTCCTCCGGGCGCTCGACGGTCTCAACGAGCTGAAGGATAGAGACTGTCTGCTGCTCCTCCGGCTGCTCGACGGTCTCAACGAGCTGAGAGATGGGGACTCGCTGCTGGTCCTCCGGCTGCTCGACGGTCTCGAGGAGCTGAGGGATGGGGACTTTCTGCTCCTCCTCCGGCTGCTCCGCGGTCTCGAGGAGCTGATGGACGGGGACTTTCTGCTCCTCCTCCGGGTGCTCAACGTTCTCAAAGAGCTGAGGGATAGAGACTGTCTGCTGGTCCTCCGGCTGCTCGACGGTCTCAACGAATTGAGGGATGGAGTCTCTCTGCTGGTCCTCCAGCTGCTGGTCCTCGAACTCATGGACGAATCTCATGCCCGAGGCCGTATAGCGGATCTGGCCATCGACGTCCAACGCCCCTCCCGCCTTCACGAGTACCCGGGAGTTCTTGTCCTCCTTCGTGAGGATACAGGGAGACATGACATGGAGAGATAAAGAATGAGACACACACAGAGAGAAAGAGGAGGGGGACACGAAGCACCTGCAATACTATTATACTAGTATTGAACTGCGGTTGCCGCATCTGTGCTGAAAACATCACGACCTTCGCTGAACCTCGGTGCACCGGGCATCACCGCGCAGCAGGTAATGTACTGCAAATTAAAATTAGGCATTGATTAGGCTGGTGAGAAACAAAACAATGAACGGGGTAGAGCTTGCCGATGTATTGTTGCTGCGACTACTGTCGACCGGTCTATTAGCGTTCATCCTTCACAGGAACGTCAGTGACAACGGCAATGATGCAAGACGTACACACACATGGAACTGGCGTGAAGCTTTGGGGATTTTTTTCTCGCCAAAGGTATGCGTAGAGATAACTTTGGCATTCTGGAAGGCACCCATTATTTAAGTTCACCCGATGGCACGCACGTGTTTTTCTCGGTCAACGGGTTGGCCAGGTCGATGCGTGAAACCTACAACACAGACACGCAAACAGCAGCACAACCACCGACAACAACAACATCATTGTTCCTCACCGCTATGCTGTCGTTGGGCAACTGACCAACGCTGTCGGCGAACAACCCCAGGTGCCCTTGGGGTTCGACCGTAAAGAATTCCGCGGAGTCCCTCTGCTCGAGGGAGAAAAAAGGAACAGAATGGAACACGACATAGAAAAAACAACAACAGGGACAGCAACAATAACAACAGCAACAAAAAAATGCGTCGTTGAATGAAATGTTTACAGCCTTAGCGAACATCAGGGCAGAGTATCACAACCACCGTCGCCGCCACGAGCATCAAACGAACGTCTAACATCGCGATGGCGGGTTCATGGCAACCCTATCCAACCCGGCAAGTTTTGACTTGACCCAAGGAGAAAAGCGCGTCAAACGAATTGCCTTTCGAGGAAGCCCAGTGTGTTATGGGCCTTGTAGGACGTACCAGGTACTTCGACCCCACAGAATGCGACCCTACCGATGATAAGGTTTCGCAATTTTGGCGGGAAACGCACAGATATCAACCATCCTCACCTCAAGAGCTTCCATGGTCATGGTGCCCACCATGATCCCCAGCCCGCCAGTCTGTTGCACGTGGAATTGCACACCCCGCATGTACAAGTCGTCGACGGCGGCGTATATCATCGCCTCCGAACTGATTTCAATCACCTTGGGATTCGGTCGGGATGTTGGATGTGGGATGTGGAAAAAGGTCAAAAGCAGTCAATGGATTGAGAAGGGAGGAGTTGGGGTCGTGATACGTTGATTTTCGGTCGCCTAAACCTTAACCTTACCTAACCCCTGCTGTGTCATAGTCTACCTCCTCAACAAACTCGTCAATCAATCAATGTATGTCTGTGCGGTGATGAAGGAAGGAAGGAAGGAAGGAGGGAGGGAAGAATGGACGTCTCCAACGAGGAGGGGTGAATCTCGCAGCACAAACGGCAATGACCCACCAACGTCTGTGTCCGCCAACACAACCGTCTCAAGCTTCGACGTTTGATTCTTGACAAACTCCGAAAGACCATCTATGCACAAGCATTACTACCCTCGGATGAGAGAGGGGAGGAAGAGCAAGTCGTTGTGGTGCCGAGTCATCACCTTCCTCCCCTTGGTATACGTACACCAACCAAAACACACAAGAAACCACTCTCTCGCACCCGCTTCACGTCGCAAACGATGTCGCCGGTGATGAAGACCCTGCCATGTAGCGGGTTCCGATCGAGATCGAGCTCGTCGCAGGAGCCCAGGTCCCTCCTCGGCTTCTTGTCCCACTCAGCGTCGTCATGGAATCCTGGTGTCGTGGAGATCGCGTTCGTGTGCACGTGCCCGCCGTCGGAGGTGACGTCGATGACACCGGCGTCGGCACTACCGGGGGCAGCAGCGTAGTGGTCGTCGACCGTGGCCGTAGGGGGGTGCTCCACGGTGGATTCGCAAGTGCCTCCGTTGCTCTCGTTCAGGTTCTTGTCTTTGTTCTTCTTCCTCTCCTCGCTCTTGTTCCTCATGGAGATCGTCATGGTCGAGGCCGTGAAGCTGGCCCTACCGTCGAGCTCGAACCTCCCCCCCTTCTTCAGGGCCACGAGAGAGTGCACGTCCTCCTGGGGCGGCGATCAGCATGGAGAGGGGGGGTGAGTTGGCTCTAAGCTATCTGGCCTGCAAGCTCAGGGACGACCTTGGATGTGAACTGACACCATCCGGCGACACGCCGGCCAAGCGAGGCTGAACACACAGTAGTCGTCGCCCATGAGCCCATGCATGTACCTCATTGGTGTTGTCGATGACACCAAAAACTCGTGCCGCGATGAAAAAACAAAAACTGATGTGTTGGTCGATGCCAGCGCACGAAGACGAAGAGGCACCAAACGTTCCTTCGTACTGAGCTTGACAACAATTGCCTTGAAAAGAGCAAGACCCACAGAACCAAGCATCATCCACAATGTCAAAAGGGGTTATTCCCATTTCCATGTATGATCATAACACCGACACGTCCTACGGGCACCCCATACCATACCATACCACACCATAAGCACTAACCTCCGTGCCGTTGTCGGGCGATGGGCTCCCCATGTCAGCACTCATTGCCAGGACACCTTGCGGCTCAACCGTGAAGAGCTCGCCGGATTCCCCCTGCGCGGCGGAAAGAACAGGAAGGAAGGAAGGAAGGAAGGCTTCGGTCAAAGAAACGGCTTCTTTCGTTTCGGGACAAACGTACAAGCACCAACCAACCAACAACCACGACAACAACCTGCAACAGCGAAGACACCGAACACCAACAATCGCAACCACAGCCACAGCTGTAGCAACGGCTATCACGACCACACGGGATGACCATGCAGCACACTTTCAAGTGACGTCGTGTGTCCTGCCAACGGATTTTCGTGTGTGCGGTATCCTCCTGTCCTCCCCCGACCCCTCTCTCTTCGTTGTTGTTGTATTTCTATCTATCTGCTGAGCGTGATCTCGAAAATATCATTTCATTGGTTGAGCTGTCTCGGACAGAGAAAAAGAGCAAGAGGATCGGGGTGGGCCTCCTCCTGCCCTGCCAACATGAATCCGGATGATCGGGCAAAGACGGCCAATACTCCTTGCGCTCGAAACCATCGCTCAATCAGTGGAACGAGAAGATTGGGGAGGGGGCGCCCCGCCCCTCCTGGGTGTAGTGTTCAAACACGTTTTCAACCACCCATACATCCTAACGTCCTGGTTATGTTCAAACACAAAAAATATGCGGTACATACCCCGTAAAGCCCCCCTACACCCCCCCAATGCTCAGTTTCCAGCATCATCATCCTCGCAAGCGCAAGATTAGTTTACTCGCATAAGTGCGTACCTCGATCTTCTCCAAGACTATCGTGGCCACCATGAATGTCAACGAGACTTTCTCATTGACAACGAAGTGCACGCCCTTCAACCGGAGATCGGGCTTGTCGGAAACGACGATCACGTCGTGGCCGACATCAAGGATCTACGATTTTCATGGACGTCGGAAGGGAGAGGGTGCAAGGCGAGGAAACAGAGCACCCGCGACACAGATTGAACAAGGAACGAAAGCTGTTAAAAATATGGTTCAAGGTCTTTCTCGTCGATGACGGTGCTCTTGCTGCTTTTCTGGTGCACCATCTGATGCTGGCGAAGAGAACGAACAAGGATAATGACGATCGTAGAAATGATACGCTCATGTCAACGTGGTCCTGCCTCATTCATGTAAGGGTGGTAACGATTAATTTTCCCACTCCGTGCAGGACAACAAAAACTCTTGTCCGATTGGGGTGGGGGGCGTGCTCTACGGCAGCCACCAGTGACAAACCTCGGGCTAGTACTGGGCAATGTGGAACGTACATCAACGTACGCTCCAGCGCTATTCTTCGCTAAATTAGCACCAAACGTTCCCACGAGATACAGAGAGAGAGGCAAAGAGACATTATCGAGAGGCAGCAACAGAGACAAGAGACGAAACCGGGCTAGCCCATCATTGTCATTGAGAATGATACTGCGACAGCGATGATCACAACCAACAGCTCGCTCACCCGTTTCTCGGTGCATATGATATCATCGTCGAGGAGAAGCACGCCGGACACGCCTTGGATGGGCGTTCGCTCGAACCGGAGCTCGTTGCAGGACTCCAGGGTATACAGCGGGAGGCCGTCATCGACGACGGCAAGCGCTGAGGTTAGGCGGGCACTCTCGGTTGCGGCGGCAGTACCGGTGGTTTTCGGGGTACCGTTGGAGGAACCACCGGTGCCGGCATTGGCAGCGGTGCTGTGTTCGTCCCCTGGGGTAGGTGAGGGGCGGATGGCGGGGGGAGTGGGGGAGGGGTTGTTGTCGCCGTTCTCAAAGAACTGAAGGAGGGAGACTATCTGCTGGTTCTCCGACTGCTCGACGGTCTCGAAGAACTGAAGGAGGGAGACTCTCTGCTGGTCCTCCGACAGCTCGACGGTCTCAACGAGCTGACGGATGGGGACTGTGTGCTGCTCCTCCGGCTGCTCGACGGTCTCAACGAGCTGAGGGATTGAGACTCTCTGCTGGTCCTCCGACTGCTCGACGATCTCAACGAGCTGACGGATGGGGACTGTGTGCTTCTTCTCCGGCTGCTGGACATCGAACGCAAGGACGGCTCTCATGCCCGAGGCCGTATGGCGGATCTGGCCATCGACGTCTAACGCTCCTCCCTCCTTCACCAGTTCGCGGGAGTGCTGGTCCTCCTTCGCGACGATACAGGGAGACATGGCACGGAGAGGAAATGGATTAGACAAACAGACAGACAGACAAGAAGCGATGGGGAGAGTAGAACAAGGGGTTGGTAATTGTCACCCAGATTCTCCAATAGTTTAAGTCCAAAACCAGCTACTGTAGTGAAACGAGCTTGCCGACCGCATCTGCGTTGAAACCGCGACATTTCTGTGCACCGGATACCACCGCGCCACAAGCAAGGCACGGCTGGAAGAGGCATCATTGAGATGGGGGCAGTGTTTGCCGATGTATTGCTGCTGCGACTGCTGTTGACCCCCCCGAAAGCATTCCTTCTCCGGGGCGACGGCGGGGGCGATGCAAGACGTACACACGCACTGGACTCGCGTCAAGCTTTGGGGTTGTTTACCCAGCAAAAGGTTTGTAGAGAGATAAATACAAACTGTGGTATTCTGGAAGGCGGACATTCTTGAACTCCACTCACTGACACCGACGTATTTTCATTGGTCAACGGGTTGGCACGGTCGATGCTAAAACACGCACACACACAACAACAACAACAACAAAATTCGCAAAACAGTATCAACACCACCGATCAGACAACAACGTTGTTCCTCACCGCCATCCCATCGTCGGGCAAGGGACCACTTCTGTCGGCGTACAGCCCAAGGTGCCCTTGCGGTTCGACCGTAAAGAATTCCGCGGAGTCCCCCTGCTCGAGGATGTTGTCGTTGTCATTGTTGTTGTTGTCGTAGGTGTTGTCGTAGGTGTTGGTGTCGGTGGGTGCAGCATCGACGATGACGGAGGTCTCGCTGAAGCGTAGCATCGAACCGCCGTAGGTAATGATATCGCCATCGGGGGAACCGTGGATCGTATCGTGTGGGTCGTCCTAGGGTTGTGGAGTAAACATTGTGACATGGCCAACAGCACGCGGGCACACGACGGCAGAAGGGGTGGGAAGGGGAGGTTAGGCCTTGGGACGATCACAACTAGAGGACAAGGTTCATTGTGTCTGTGTGAGGGATAGGTTGCGGAACGTGTGATGGAGGGAGCTTAACTGAACATGACTATTCTACGCGTGAGGGGAAAAGGGTGCTAAGGTATATGTATGTGTGAAGCTGCTTGGGTTGGTGTTGGAGCGGTGGGAATGTGAACCCTTGAGTCGCAACCGTGTTGGTGCTTGAGCGTTGTCAGGTCCAAATAGGTGCAAGGCACGGCAGCTCCTGGCAGATCAGGGGCGTTCCCGGTTGAAACGAACTGAACAAGCAGCACTGCCGGCACACGTTAGGTCGGTCAAAAAACATCGTGGAGGCAGGTGTTCAGATAGAGACACTAGGTGGACCAAGTCAGTCCTGACCATGAGACATGGAGCAATGGGGTCGCTAACAAAGCACCACCGACAACGACAACAACAACAAGGACAGCCAACAAGAGCTCACCATCCTCGTGTCGACCAGATCGTCGAAGCGGTGCTGGTCGCCGCGGAGGTGCAACTCGCCGTGCAAGTTGAAGATCTCAACCGAATCCCCCTGGACAAATTACCCAGCGATAGTCACAGCAGATGTTGGACAAGAGGAAAGCAGGGGCGTTGGAAAAAATAGACACCGCAAGGGAAAAGAGGGGGAGTAATGCGGGGAGAGGGAGGAGATCAGGGCAAGCAAGAAATATCTTTGCGAAATGGATGGACTTCGCGAGTGACGGGAAGTAGGTAATACATCTCCGGTCCAAAAATATGGCAAAACAGTACAGTGTCCTTGGGAAAATATGACAATTTGACGAGACGTGTGTACATAGCAAGAAAAAGTCCTGGGGGCGAGGTAATCGTGTCATCTCGACATCGACAAAGTTAGGAAGAGAAAGGGCAGGAGGGTCTCGCGAGCACAGAAAAAAAAACAGGAACGGACGTCAGCGGTGACATCCGACCTCAAAATAATAGGTGCCACACCCGCTGGAGAAGCATACATGTAGAGAGATATGCCAGACGAAAACAGCGCTCAACAGCTACAATACCTGTTCCCTCTCGAAATTGAGAGCCGGGGCCCGGATGTGCATCGTTTCGCCCTTCCGCACGTTGAAGCGGACGTTCCTGGTGTACAGGGTGTCGGCGGCGACGAACAGGACATTGTTGCCTCCCTCGGCGATCTCGATCACCTGCCCCGACAATGATCCATGGTTGGCGATAGAGGTTAATGGTGCTCCTCCGCCGTATGTACTGCCTACGAATATTTTCTTGGTATGCATAGTCGGGTGCTTATCGGCTGTGCGCTGTGTTCGTGCCTCCATCTTTATCAGGACCGGTTGGTCGAGAAGCACATTCGCGGTTTGCCTGCCTATCGGCCTTTTATACGGGATGGGCTACCTTACTTTCGGCAACAGTACTATCGTACACGGCGAAAAAGTGGGGGAGATACATAATCGGCCGAGATGCGACACTCGAGTGCATGTCCGTAGCTGTCAAGCACCGAACACCCAATCACTTGAAGTAAACCACACGAACACACAAATGTCACCTCTCGATTGCAACCGTCAATATGTACCTTTGGGCCGACTGCCCGATTCAGGGACAAGAGGCTACGGCCAAAGTGTTTCATGCTACCACAACCGAACAGGTCTCATGCAGTGACATTCGCGGCCTGCTGCAACACAACAGAGCCTGGCATGCCCGAACCAGACACACTCGCGCACCTTGGGCTCGGGGCACACAATGTCTGCCGTAACGGACACGACCCCTTCGAAAGGGTTTCGCTCGTTCGGGAGGTCGTCGCAAGAGTTCAGGTACGTCACGAAGTCCATGCCGCTCGCTTCCAACTCCCGCGGCCGCTGCTCTTGAGCGAGGCCTGCAGAGTGTCCCTGAGAGCCACCGGCCGCCTCGCTGTTGCTGTTGCTGTTGCTGTTGCTGTTCTTGTCGGTACTGGGCTCTGCGACTACGAACACCGCGGAGTCGGTGAAGTACATGGCCTCATCACCGAGAGCCCGTACGGTGCCATCGGGGGCAAGGCGGACCATCCCGTGCAGGTCCTCCTGCTCGTTGAGAAAGGTTCGTGTATCGCAACGACCAGCGGAAACCGTTCGACGCAAACAGGGGAAGAGCGAGGGGCAATTGATCAGGAAGGGGAAGGCGCTGGCCTGTTCCGCCTGCAGTACTGTCACGACCGTGTTCTCAAGAGGCAACACACAAATTTGGTTAAAATGTTCAAACAAGCAGGAACAAGAGCATGCGATGGTCGGACCCCGAAGTGACTACAACGACCAGTTCCGGGTGCTAGAGAAAGCCGCGTGTGATGGTGGACATTAGACTTGAAATTTGGCGAAGCATTTGTTTGGTGTTGTATGCATACGATAGACGTAACGTCGAGTTCGTGCACTTTTACGCAAGATTGGATTGAGACAGGGAGTCATGGGAGCCATGACCGGGGACTAGCATCAATGCTTCGATGGAGGCGGGAGGGGAGAACAAGCTTTGGGCATTGGTGGAACGCACCCTTAGAACCACAGCGAGGGGGAGCGGTGGCATGAAAAAATCAGCAAAAACAAAATATCAGGTAAACGCGACAAGAGGGGAATGACACCGGGTGCGTTAAAACTTTCCGACAAAAATAAGAGTGGAGAACCGAGTAAAGCTTTGTCAAGATGTCGGGATGTTTCATGGGTGCAATACAGCAGTAGGCCGAACGTCACATCTTGCGGAGGAATCACGAAAAATATATATCTGGTGCGTTTTCGTTGAGTCTCAAATATTTTCTCGACTGCAATGCCTAGTCTAGAACCACGCGGACGGACATCCCGTAGGCCACGATGACGGCAGGTAATACCAACAACACAATAAAACAGCACCAACAGGAGCAAAATCATCACTACCACCGCCACGGCCACCACCAAACATCGCTGCGACCACTACAACACAAAGAACAGCCGACAAGAGACAGACACCCTTACCGGTGTGGCGTCGTCAGGGGCTTCGAAGCCGGGGTCTTCGGCAAGGAACCCCAGGATCCCGTCCACGTGGAAGATGCCGTCCTTGTTGTCCTTACATAGTACAGCAGTAACGCACCAACACCAACACCGACACCGACACGCATATGTACCCCACAAGGGCAACGAAGTTACAATAGCGAATAAGCCGAAACGGAGAGAGGGGGGCGAGGGATATTGCGTTGGGCAACGAAGGCTGTTTTGCCGTGTTCTGAAGGCGCTGCAAGTCAGGCCAAACAACTCAGTGTGTGGGGTAATCCGCATGACACGTTCCTCGCTGGCTGCGACATGTTTTCGTGGAGAAAAAAAAAAAATGTTGCGCCGCCCCCTCTACCGCTGTTGCTGCTGCTGTCGTATTGGAAGCCCCATGCTAATGATGGGCTGGGTCTCGACAGAGTGCAAACAGAACTGAAACCATGTGGCTCATGGACAATTGGCTGCCGGCTGTGCGTATACCATACATACCTCGTTGCTGACGAAGACGAAAGCAGGCGCTCCGAAGTCGACCCTGGTTCCCTTGGGGATTTCGAAGATGACGCCCTTGGTCCACATGATGGTGTCTGCAAAGATGAGGACGTCGCCGTAGCCCTGAGCCACCTCGATGATCTGTTGGTCGCAGCAACACAATCATTGTTCGCTTTTACACGTGAACGTGTCTACTGAGCTTGGCTGCCAGGACTCTGAGTGAGACAGAGACAGATGGAAGAGAGAGAGAGAGGGAGTGGCGGTGGCGGCTGCACTACTGCACTGCTTGTTGCGGAGTGGAGCCATGTCGGCGGCGGCGGGGCAATCCGATCCAGGCCACGGAGCTCGGTGGATCATTCATCACCTCCCTTCTCTTTTTCATTACAATCTGCGACACCACAGAAAGTTACCGTTGGTCCGAATCCACAATCCGTCCGTACAGATGACAATCTTCGTTGCGTCGCGCAAAGGCGAGGGCGAGCAAAGAACGGAGTGCGTGGAACCGCCCTTTCCTGGAGGTGGCTTTGTTGTGGGGTGCGGCGCGCGCCGCGAGTGCGCTGAGCGCTACAGTTTGCCAAGAACCGAGTTTACGATCCAACACAACGGCATAATGATGTTACAGCAGCAATCTCCAGCAGCAGCAGCCGAATCCAGGAGAGCCGCACAGCACCTTCTGATCTGCGGTATACATCGCCTATGAGCAACAATTCTACGGGAGAAAGCTTTCCGAATGCCAAAAATTTGAAGAGAACAGGAGGACATGATGAACAAAAATGAAGCTGCTGTCATTTCACCACTGATCTGATGCGTACATGTACCAAGGCCTGCGGCGTTATTTCCGATCCCATGGTATGGCAGCGCCAGACAAAATCATGGACGCCGAATTGCGCCTGTTTGTTTCTTGTACTGCTGTACTCTCATCTCAATATATTAGATGAGCAAAGAAGGTAGAGAGAGCGAAGGATGTGGCAATCGATCAACATTCTTCCCCCATCACTGATGGACGAAATCATGCACGGTGGAACCTGGCGTGGATCGCAACGCGGGCGGTTGGCTTTGAGTCTGCCAAAGATCTCCGAGCGTACGTTCGAGGTTCATGAGCCGGTTCAATGCACCAGAGGCTAAATCACGCCTGACACCTCGACAAGATGCAACGAACTCCAAAAGCACGACTGGAGAAAGAGACATGCACACACGCAGAGGATGCAGGCAACGGAAAAAAATCATGGCACTTTTTTTGCCGCTGCGACTTTCACACACCTTGGTCTTATCGCAGATGATGTCGCCCATAATGGCAACGGAGCCGCGGACGAGTGTCGTGTCCATCGCGAGATCGTCGCAGCTGTAGATGTAGGTGGTGGTGTCCTCCGACGTTGGCTCCCCCCCGTCTTGGGCAGGGGTGTCAGCGGCGGCTGAGGTGATGAGCACCACTAGCACGACCAGCAGCCGAAGAAGGTTCTTCGCCACCGTGACGAGGCCCGGAGGGCGGCAGCCTCGCCGAGGAGAGGAGATGACAGTGGTCATCATGGTGCGGTGTTCCGTGTTTTGGTTGCTTCTATCAATCTTCTTGCTTTCGGTGGAGAGCAAAAGAGAGGAGTGAGAGGCAAGGCAGTGTGTAGCGGTGGAGCAACAGGCAACATCATCGGAGGAACGGGCTACAGGTAGGTGGGATCCACAACTTGGAATCAATTTTCATTCTTGCATAAAATAATTTGACCCTTACGCAAATTCGCTGTGGTTCCCAGACCCAAAACTACCGACGGTGCGCACCGGTCGTGCGCCTCCGATAGATGGGGGCATGTGCGGCAGACATGAGAAACGGGAAGCCCAAAGAGAAGTGTTTCTCTCCGTGGTAACCTTGGAAGGATTCAACACTGACGGGTGAAGTACGCCGCTCCGCATTCACCCGTTCACCCGCCAAATTTTGTTTCGTGTCGCCGGACAATCTTTTTTATTTTTTCACGTGCAGTCACTGACGTCTTGCGGACCTCATCTCTTGTCTTGCCGGCTGTTTTTTTCGTTCGTTTTCGTGTCGAGTACATCATCAACGAACCTCCGCTAGCCATTCGAGGTGATATATATATACTGCATGTGATGAGCCGGACGTGTGTTGAAAATCGACCGAGCTACCGGAATGTTTGACAATAACCCGATGGTGGTCATTCTTCTCCCTTGTCAATAGAGTACTAGTCTAGGGCCCCTCCGCCCCCAGCGGGCGCCGGGGCCCGAATCGCAAATTGAAGGTGGTTAGGTTGAATAGCAGGTCGATGCTTTAAGCAGTGTGGTTCAAGAAAGAGGTGTTTATATGAGCAGGGACCAAGTAGGTTACATGCGTTGAAAAGACCGTCAAGGGCGGGTTGAGGCGCGCGTCGGTGACGGATATGGCGTAATGCGGTCGCTCCCAGCATCGTCTTGTGTAAACATCTTCAACGTATGTTGTGTTTATGTATGTCAATACACCGCGCATTTCGCGGCCTTCTTCAGGAGAAGCCAGAGATAGAAAACGTCCCCGTTGACTTTGCGTGAACTGAGGAAAAATATCTTGGAAACCGAAGAAACAAAATGGAAATACGTTGCGAAATACTTGGGAAGTGAATTGAACTACACTTAAGGGCGCACTGGGGATCGCAGTACTTCCTGTGACAAATCCAGTAAACGCCTGCATATCTCGGTTTTCCAAAGTCTACGTCCATCGCAAATTAACCGTCCGCCCCCTCGTGGACAATGTTAACGAGGCGGCAGATGGGCAGACAGCCAGAAAAATAGAAGCACAAGCAACAGCAAAAGGGAGATCAAGGTACCCAACAAATCAGAGTAGGCAGGGAGGACAGGAAAAAAGAAGCGCAGCACAGAGATGACGGTAATACAAAGGGCATACAACAGGAGTGTAGCATACAGCAGGGAGGGGAACGTGGCGCAACAGCCTCAGCCGGATACATAGTTCGCCACAGGTGCTGCCTCGGCCGCCCTACTCGCTTCTACAGTACTGCCCGGTCGCGTTTCTTCCCTCCCACCGCCGTTTCCCCGACTCTCTTTCTCTTCGGTCCCGAGATGGCCGTACTCTCTGATTCTACTTCCCTCGCGCGCTGGGGCTTCGCGGACGCTTCCGCCTCCTGTAGAAGTGTGTGTTGGGACAGATAGCTTTCATTGCAATCGGCGGATACTTGTATGAAATGAAACAACAACAATAACGACAACAGCAACAACAACAAGCACGGATGGATACAGATTTACGGTGAACGAGGATGGTTTGCGCCATCTGTTATAACTAGTCTACGATAGAAGCTTATTTTCTACTCTTAGGTGTAGACCACCTTGCTTCTGACTCACCAGTCACACAGGAGGGTCCCTTCACGTTTCCTACCCTTAGGTTGCCCTTAGGGTTGAACGCAAAGGGGGGTATATTAAGCGGTAGCCCCATCTTTTATTGTTGTCTCTACAGACAATCATGGCAGAGGTTCGGCGGTTTATTTCTAAATGGCGAATCTTGTCGCTTCGGAGGGATTCGGACCCGACCTACAGCAATGACGCCATAGGGCATACGAGGTTCGTTTCCAACCGAGGCGCCACGTAGCCACTATTGAAACACCGGGGTTTCGGTGACATGTTCTATGCTACACGTCTAAGGTACAATCCCTGACTGAATATTTCAGTTTGTCAAAGGTCAGCCATATGGAGGGGTACCAAAACATTCCACTGGAAAGAGCGATATGACAGGTGGGTATTTGTATTTCATCCAATCCGAAATCATGTGGGGATCGGCAGGTGAAAAGTCAATTTGAGGGGAGCGTCAAGAGTAGCCCTTTGCGGCGCTCAGACGGACGGCGATGAAAACTGTGAGTTTGGATCACACCGTTGGCGCATTACAGCACGTACTCACAGGAGAGGCGGGGGCGTGCCGTACTTTCATCGGTTAGCAGCTGCGGGGCGTCGCTTGTCTATGCAGATGGAGTGAGGGGGGAAAGGCCCCCAGCACGCTCATCACACAGTACAGGGTGGTTTCAGCAGCTGTAACATATTGAAAGGTGTAGGAAAAAGTGCAATGAGTCGAGCGCATCGGCCCTCACTTTTTGCACTCATGATACAGCTCCTTTGTTGTTAGTGGATGCTCTCGGTCGCCTCGCTCAAACACTCGGAGGTATTTGAGGCAGATCACGGGTCCACATTCATTCGTTCATTCGCCCACCGGCTGATGCCCTCGGGTAAATGCATGTTGCAATGAATAATGAAAGTGCCACCTCTTGGTCATCATTCGTCTTCGCAAATCCAACGTCTTGTGATGAAGCCACGATGACTATGTCCATGCATCAGAGTCAGATATCGCGCTGTGGACGTAGGCTGCTACTCTTGGCTATCGTCTTGGAAACATGCAGTCCATCGATCGCATCGAGTGTGACTTCCTGCAAAACAGTAACTGCCCATGGTTCAGCGCCCTGCAGGAAGTGAACCTTTTTGTCCCCACCCGGGCATCGGATTCCATCCATGCTGTTATCGTTGTTGTATTCGCGATAAGATATCGTATCACTAGCTCGCGGGAAAAAAGCGCAAAACCAACCTTACTTGAGAGCCTGCCATTCTGGCTCATTTGACTTGATTTCAAAGAGTCGTGGGGGTAGACTGCATGGTATGTATGTTCCGAGCAGCCTCCACTGCGACTCTGTGCAAGAATCAACGGCTTCTGTTTTTCCCGACGCCTTCCGACTGATTTTGCGCCTTGCGTGTCTCGTGTCAATTCAGGTGCTCTTGCGTTTTTTTAAAGTCAGTCAACCCTACGTACCCGTGTTGATATTTCACACTGGACTCAGAGTTGATGTTGTCGCCGAAAAGCCCGAAGATCAGCTATTACTGCTGTGGAAGTATTTACGAGCCGCGCCGATATCCAGCAACAACGTGTGTTTCATGCACTCAACATGAGTTGTGCAGCAATTTCTGCATGGTCTCGCGCAACATCAACATCGCCACCCACAACCAAAACAACATTAACTACAGACGGGTCGAACAAGCTTCCCCACACAACGAGAGGGAACGGACTCGGCAAACCACGACGGGTGCACCGGGCATGCTCAGATGCTCAGTCTCGGACGTTTTCCTCGTCCGGGCAAGGCTTGCTGCAAGTTCAAGACAAACTCACAGCTACATGAGTGAGATCGTACTACTGTAACGTACAGGAAAAAAAATGACAAATAGCTAATGTCGCCCGGGGCGTGTACCCAAAACCTCATGAAGCGGCACAAAAACGATTCTAAGCTTTTGGCGTTGCTCCCAACATTCACAACAACAGCAAGCGAAACGGTATGCAACAAATCATGGTACGAAAAGAAATATTTCCCCCAAGATCACCGATTTCTGCGTGGAACAGCGAACAAAAAACGGGCGAGTGCACAAGGACACAGCAAAGAGCTCGCAGGAGGCGGCAAAAGAAGCGCTTCATGACCACGGCACGGGGTCGAAGGCACACAGCAGCGTATTGTTGCCCTCGTCTATAGCAGACGCCAAGATCGAAAAAGGCAGCCAACGCCACCGATGCCGCACTCGGGGGCTAAATCTTCAACTAACACGGGCTATGCCTGCAGCAACGACAGAGATAGCTCCAACAAAGTGGCAGCAAAGACAATCGTTCGAATGTACAACAAACCGTCCTGATCTGATCCCGCAAACCGTGCTCCGTGCACGCCCTCGCCGCGACATATGCTTCCGTCCATCCTGCGGCTCTCCGCGATACGATACGTTGTCGAGGATCTACGTGGGGGCCCCCTTCACTCACTCCGAGTGCCGCAGTAAAATATTATCCCGGCGTACAGTACACGCGAACCCCGTCAAGGTTAAAAAAAAGAAGTCAGAGATTTTCACAATATATTGTATCGTTTGTCGTATGCACAAATAAATGCAGGTGGCTCTGTTTGCTCTAGAGCCGAAACCAACCCAACGATTTCGGCAACTAACGCAACACACTGAAGAAAGACAAAAACAAACAGCGTGCTGTAGGCACTCACAGCCCCCCCAACAACAGGACCGAATCAGTCCATCCATCTTGAGTCATGCCGGCTATAGATCGCCGCCATGCGCACGTTCGTGTGCGTCCCGGACTCGACAGGCAAGCCTTCCCAAAAGTCTTCCAGCAGAAGCTCGGCGATGTTCTTTGTCTTGGGACGGACAGGCTCCGTGAATAGGAACAGCACCAACGCCGCAAACGTATACCTGGGGGGGGGGGGGGGGGGGGCGTTATGGTCAGGGTCTTGCTAGCCACATTCAATTCCAAAGGTTGGGGAAAAATTTTTCCTGGGGGGAAAAATGGGCCCCCTTTTTTAAAAATTTCCCCCCGTACCAAGCCCCCAAAAGGGAAAGTTGGGGAAATGTTCAAAAAGGGAAAAGGGGTTTGGGATTTCGGGAAAGGAAAAGATGGGGGGGGGGAAAGAAAATAAAAAAAGGGCCCCCCCCATCCCCCCCAAACGCGAAAAAAAACAAAAAAATGATACCCACAACCGGGGTTGTTTA